ATACAGTTATCTTTTTTTTGACAACTTCGTGTTGCTGCGAATCCCTAACGTTTTTTACATTTTGGGGCCCCACGGTGGTTAAATAAATCGATTATTATTCGCGAAGCCTCCGATTCGATGTGATACGAAATTCTCCACCTTCGCAATGATCATTTTGCAATTAGACGAGCAAGTGGGTGACCCGCAATATTGAGGTTATGATCTTTTTGTACCCCGTTTTTATCTTTATTTACAGCCGATGCTCATTCAAGCCGTTTTCGCCGGCGAAATAGACACGGTTAGGAAGCTGTTCGAATCAAAAAGATCAAACTGGGCAATTAAAATACATTAATAAACAATTTGAAGAGTATAAAAAGATGTATAACGAAGAAAAATTGTGTCGCTTAAGATCGGATCTTTTTAAATCTAAAGATAGACTCGAAGAGTTAGAAAAACAGAACGGAGAGGTTATTAAAAGTGGATTTTTTAATTATTGTTTTGTATTAAATGTATTAATGTTTTTATTTTAGTAAATACCCTTTTAATAAAAAATTAGCGAATGGGGAAATATTTTCAAACGGAAATTTAAAAAAGCATCGTAAGTGTTAAAATAATTATTTTTTTTTATTCAAGAATTGTATTTTGTTAAAATTTATAATATAAAAACTATAACATTTTTTTTTAGGTTATGTTGCAACATAACCTCAATTTTTTTCTCCTTAATGAAACAATTAATTTCTTTACAGAACCAACTAATTTATTTATTTATTTCTTAAATTATTAATCAATAACAATATTTTAATTAATTATTTTAATCGAAAAAAATAATTAAATTACTTAATTAATACTCCGCTAGATGGAGCGCAACAGCGATACAGTTATCGTTTTTTTTTTTAAACAACTTCGTGTTGCTTCGAATCGCTAACGTTTTTTACATTTTGTGGCCCCACGGTGGTTAAATAAATCGATTGTCATTCGTGAAGCCTCCGATTCGGATGTGATACGAAATTCTCCACCTTCGCAATGATCATTTTGCAATTAGACGAGCAAGTGGGTGACCCGCAATGTTGAGGTTATGATTTTTTTGTACCCCGTTTTTATCTTTATTTACAGCCGATGCTCATCCAAGCCGTTTTCGGCGAAATAGACACGGTTAGGAAACTGTTCGAATCAAAAAGATCAAACTGGACAATTAAAATACATACATTAATAAAAAATTTGAAGAATATAAAAGGATGTATGATGAAGAAAAATTGTGACAGTTAAGGTAGGATCTTTTTAGAGCTAAAGATAGATTTGAGGAGTTAGAAAAACAGAACTGAGAGGTTATTATAAGTGGATTTTTTAATTATTGTTTTGTATTAAATGTATTAATGTTTTTATTTTAGTAAATACGTTTTTAACAAACAAATTAAGGAGTGAGGAAATATTATCAAATGGAAATTTTATGAATTCAAAGTAATAACCATCGTAAGTGTTAAAATTATTATTTTTTTATACAAAAATTGTATTTTGTTATAAAATTTATAATATAAAAGTTATTAAATCTTTTCTTTTTTGAGGTTATGTTGCAACATAACCTCAACTTTTTTCTCCTTTATGTAACAATTAAATTCTTTCTTTACAGAATCAATTTAAAAATTTATTTATTTATTTCTTAAATTGTTATTAATAACAATTTAATTAATTATTTTAGTCGAAAAATAAATAAATTACGGCGGCATTATTTGACAGGTGTAATTGCCATAGGTAATTGCATCTGAGGAATTCCCAACCAGTCGGAACGTTAATTGGAGCCACAGAACACTTTCCAAACAGTTATTCTGTGGTTGGAGCTTATATATATAAACCCAATCCAACCTGTATTCTAGTGGTTCGGTTCTTAGCTGAATAATTCCAAAATATCCCCAACAGATGGCGCCACATGCGTTCAATTTTTAGTAGGAAGTTTTTGTTTGAGAGTTGCATTTCTATGAAGCTATTTTTTATGGAAACACAGAAAGAGAGGTTATTAAAGGTGAATATTTTTTTGTATCTTGTATTAAGTCATTGAGGTCTTATATNTTTGTGACAACCTCAACTTTTTTTCTCTTTTATGAAACAAATTCTTTCTTTACAGAACCAATTAAATTTATTTATTTCTTAATTTATTATTAATCAATAGCAACATTTTAATTAATTATTTTGATCGAAAAATAAATAATTAAATTACTTAATTAATATTCCGCTAGATCGAGCGCATAATGCAGTTGTCACTTTTGCGACAACCTCAACTTTTTTTCTCTTTTATAGAACAAATTCTTTCTTTACAGAACTAATTAAATTTATTTATTTCTTAATTTATTATTAATTAACAACATTTTAATTAATTATTTTAATCGAAAAATAAATAATTAAATTACTTAATTAATATTCCGCTAGATGGAGCGCATAATATAGTTGTCACTTTTGTGACAACCCCAACTTTTTTTCTCTTTTATGAAACAAATTCTTTCTTTACAGAACCAATTAAATTTATTTATTTCTTAATTTATTATTAATTAACAACACTTTAATTAATTATTTTAATCGAAAAATAAATAATTAAATTACTTAATTAATATTCCGCTAGATGGAGCGCATAATGCAGTTGTCACTTTTGTGACAACCCCAACTTTTTTTCTCCTTTATGAAACAAATTCTTTCTTTACAGAACCAATTAAATTTATTTCTTAATTTATTATTTATTAACAACAACATTTTAATTAATTATTTTAATCGAAAAATAAATAATTAATATTCCGCTAGATGGAGCGCATAATGCAGTTGTCACTTTTGTGACAACCTCAACTTTTTTTCTCTTTTATGAAACAAATTCTTTCTTTACAGAACCAATTAAATTAATTTATTTCTTAATTTATTATTAATCAATAACAAAATTTTAATTAATTATTTTAATCGAAAAATAAATAATTAATACTCCGCTAGATGGAGCGCAACAACGTTGTTGTCACTTTTGTTTTGGTC